GGAGAGATGTAAACGGAGCATACCGTTATCAGCTTATTAAATATTATTGTACGGATCGCTACAGCCTCGAGGACAGTGTTTAAAGAGATAGGGTGGCATGCTAATGACTTCAGTGCGATAATAGCAACACCTCCTGAGGAGTGGGTGTAGCCAACCCTGTCCTTTCTGAATACCATATACCTATTTAAGAAATTTGTGTTTTTAGAATTAAGGTGGGTTTCCTGGAGACACATGATACTTGGCTGTCTGTCATGCAGAATCTCATACACATCGTCCAGGTTTTTAAGGAGGCCTCTGCAGTTCCATTGGATTATGTTTTCTGTTCCCATTATTTGAATTTAAGAATGACTGGAGTGTGTGTGTTTGTGTGTGTTCATGTGTCGTCTTTCGGGGCTGTTACTCTTGGCTTGGGCTTTTTAGGCCCTTCTGGAGACTTGGCCGTCACAGGCCGCTCCTTGCGCTGCGTGGCAGGCAGGAACGGCCAGACATCCATGTCATCATCAGATGTCCGAGGGATGCCCGTCGAGCCGGGCCCCCCGGACTTGGCCCCCTTTCGGGAGCCCTTCGTTTGAGCCGCCACCCCCGGGAGTGCCACAGGTGGCACGGGCGGTGCGGTGGCGGTGGGATCCGGTGCGGGGCCCGCGGTGTCCATCATCTCGGCACCCTCCAACGCACTGGAGGACGGGGAGGCCGAGGCGGGAGCGGCACCGGTCCTGACAGAACTGGTTTGCACCACATCCGCTGCTGCCTCAGCAAGCGGTGTGGCGACAGATTGGGCTGCAAGAGGCAACCCAGGGGGGGGCGGGGGCGGGATCAAGTCCGACTCGCAGTACTGGGTCCCCGCCGAAACAAGACGCCGCTCCGCCCCCCGGCGAGCTGCGTCGGCGTACCTCCCCAGAGGGAAAGAGGCGAACCTCTTTCGCGCCTCCGGGAAGGTGATGTTCTCTGTGACCTTTATGTTTATTATTTTCTTTTCCAATTGAAACTTCTCGCATTTTCTGGAGTACGCCGCGTGTGGGCCCTGAAAGTTGATGCAGAGAAGTTGTTGAGAGCTACAATTATCAGTGGGATGGTCATGTTGGGCGCACTTGGCACAGGTTATTTGGCCCCGACACGAGTTAGTACCATGCCCGAACCTCTGGCACTTGAAACAGCGCCGCGGGTTCGGGATGTACGCTCGGACGGAGCACCGGATAAAGCCTGCATTAATATAATCTGGAAGATTGGACCGATCAAATGTGAGGATTATGTGCCTAGTGGGTATTTCCTTGTCATCTCTTCTGATGGTAATGCGCCGAACTGCCGTCACACCTTGGTTTCGCAGGCCTTCAAGGAGGTCGGCCTCTGTCTCGTTTGCCAGATCTGGCTCCGAAATCACGCCCTGGGAGCTGTTGAGGCTGCGGTGGGGCGTGACTCGAATGGCCAGATCGGCGATGCGGGTTTGAGCAAGGAGCTTGTCGGCCTGGTCCTGTCTACTGAGCTCGACAAGGACTTCGCCAGTTCGTTGTTTTTTGGCCTTGTACGACTCTCCAACAACACTCTCAAGAAACTTTGACACAGGAAATACCGACAGTGAAGAAAGAGGTTTGGATTGGTCGACCGATTCCATCACCATGAAGCGAGGGAAGTTGTTCGGTTTGGGAGGACTCAAGTTAGGTAGTGGTGGGAAAGAAACTTCGGTGCGGCCCCTTTTCGAGGGCCGATCACGTTTGGGGGGGGGTTTGGAAAATGCCATGTGACAGATTGAAAAGCAGGGAACGGGGGTAATTTCGTCGCTCGGTTTACCCTGATGCCGAGAGAGGTCCCGGAGCTCCCTGCCTGGTAGACAGGCAGGGAGCCCATTGGCCGGAGCTTGACCAAGGCTCCGACGGCCACCGTTTACGGCTTCTACCCTTCACCTATAAACACCTCGCCACGGTTGGGCACAGCTTATGTTGGGAGCTCGGGGTCCGCGGTGTCGCCACTCACCGTCACCTAGATTACTCAAAGTGCCCCCTGCGGGGATTTCCTTAAGGTGAAAGCAGACAAGAGGCACCCCTCATACTCTACTATTAATGACTTGTCGAGCTCCATTCTTTTTCAAAACAGGCCCTCAATGAGGCAGCCCTTCTCAGTTCGCCTGAAGGGTCTAGCTGAGGACACTGGAGTGTCACTCAAACACAGTTTAATGGCTCCTGTAGCATACCCGCCACCGTGGCAGTGGCAGACTATAGATTGCGATGTGTCTTTCCTAGAAGTTACTAAACATGCGCCTATTGCCCATATTCGAACATACTTCTTGGAACTTCAACACAAATACACACGTCCTGAGTTTTTTACACTGTGATGCCTCTAAGTCTAACTCCTTTGTGTCCTACGCTGCTGTTGGCCCTTCCTTTTCGGATGCTGGCCCTCTACATCCAGGCACAAGTATCTTCACAGCGGAAGCTTACGCGATACTTGTGGCAGCTAAACACATCAAACAATCACAAATACAAAAAGCAGTAATTTATACAGACTCCCTCAGTGTGGTAACGGCTCTGCACAGTCCTAAAAAACAAAAAAAACCTGTCCTCGTTTCACTTTACTCCATTTTATGCACACTCTACACACTCAACCGACACGTTGTTGTGTGCTGGGTGCCAGGGCACCGTGAGATTCAAGGCAACGTGATGGCGGATCAGCTTTCTGCATCCGCCCACGAAAACACCGCCATTACACCCACATCAATCCCGGCCCTTGATCTTAAGCCGTCTCTCAAACGAAAACTCAGGGACTACTGGCAGAGCAAGTGGGATACACACACACAAAACAAACTACACGTTATCAAGCCACACCTTGGTCATTGGCCACCAGTATCAAAATCACGTCACACAGAGGTAACAATAACGAGGCTCAGGATAGGACACACATACACGACACACTCATATCTTTTCTCCGGTGGCGATCCACCATTGTGTGACAGATGTGGTGAAGCACTAACAGTTCTTCACATTTTAATTCAGCGCAAACAATTGGACACTATAAGAACACAACACTTTCCATTACCCTACCGACAACATATACCTTTACACCCTGCAATGTTCGTCGGTAGGGAACCGCTTTTTAGTTACAAATCATTGCTAGCGTTTTTAAAAGAAATTCATACTTTTCATATCATATACCCGGGCATACGGTAGCACGACCTCTCCTGACAGGTTTTTGCTGCGGTGGCTACACAAGAAAGCACTTGCCTCACGGCCCTTGGACGCAAGGGTACGAACGAGTGAGGCACTTGTGCTATTGCCATACATATCCACCATCGTCTTTTATTATCACCAACTTTGTTCATCTATTCGCACCACACACACCTTTCACGGCATGGTCATGATTTTATTGCTTGTATGTTTTTACCCGCCTTACCGCGAGGAATTCTATGGCCCTTATACAGCCGCTAATCACAATCATTGTCCACATCTCTTGTCCCATGAACTGGCGCTCTTTGGCCATCAAATGGCCCTTGCGCCAAAAACACCATATATCATCATTCGATCTATCTGTGTTCGATATATTGAGGTTTGACTGTATAATGGACCACCAACTTGCCCAAAGATTTGCACAGTGCATGAGTATAAAGGTAAATGAACTAAGCACAAGCATAGCTAGATAAATCTCTAGTGACAATTACAGAACAGGAATGAAAACAGGGGAATGCATGAAACTATGCTTATATAATGACGCTAGAAGAGATCTCATAAAAAAACAACTAATGACTACAAATAGCTTGAAGCATTGTAAAAAAAAATGAGGACAAGAATTGAAAATGAAGACAAGATGAGCACAATAGCACTCATGCTGTTGTGTTCGTTACTTATTTAGTTCTTGTCCTCATATTTTTTGCAGTGCTCAAGTTATTTTCAAGATGAACTGACTCGCCCAAACCAACAGGTTGTTGCTAATTGGTGCAGTGACATTTGCCGAGCTATTTATGTGTGCTATACACAAGGTCATGCTAAGATTTCTGCAAAATAATTCCTTTTGTCAATGAAAATACCTTAAAATACACAATTTTTGCTCATTATGGTTTACATAATACAAAATGAAGGCCAGAATTAATAAAATAATACACCATGCAAAACAACAAAAATCAGGTAGTAACCATGAACAAATATTAATGAGATTAGCATGCTTCAGTTTCATTCACACGTGCAACTAGCACAGGTAATACAATCATTCATGACTGCAACCAAAAGTGACTCAAGGCAACGGATGTTCACACCTAATAGTGCGACTTGTATGTAGTATAATATCGTGCACCAATGAATGACACGATATGACAATGCCATACATATTCAAAAGTGATGTTTCTTTCTTTAGTTTTTTGCTACCTAAAGTCAACCCTAGAGCTACATCGTATACTAATATTCCATTTTTTTCTTTCTGGACACTATAAAACATCGCCTTATATGTTTATGGTCACATTACAATCGAGTACCTTTTTCCTAAAAGCCTAGACTTCCAGGCAGCCTTCTTGTGTGCATGGAACACCTTGAAAGTTCTGAGACTACAACCCAATGACTGAAGTGGTAACTGCTCGCGTTACTACTGCCTTGCTGACCTCCTCTTCCTAATCTGATGAATAAGCTAATGTCCTGTTCTGTGTATTTGTTTACCCAGTTAAAAAAAGCAATTGAAACCAATTGGAAAATTTCCACCTGGTCCAATTGGTTCCAATTGTGAATTAGTACACAATTGAGCCAATTGGACCAATTGGTTTTACACCAATTGGTTTTACACCAATTGGTATAGAACCAATTGGTCCAATTGGTTGTGCACCAATTGGCCCAACACCAATTGGACCAATTGTGTATAATTCACAAATGGAATCAATTGGTTTTATGCCAATTGGCTCAAATGGTATAGTATGGCATGACCAATTGGCATCTAACCAATTGGACCAATTGTTTATATGCCAATTGGCTCAAATGGTACAGGACGTATTGATTAATGAATGCATGTAGACACCTTTGACAAAAATGCAATTATTGTAAAACAGAACATCTTTTATTTACAAACATAATATGCGGTATCTTGCCATGCAGGTCCAGCACTTTGCTACAGCCACATTGGTTAGTCACGCTGCACCCTGCAGAAACAATAAACAAACAGCATTTGCATGAAGGCTAGTTTCATTACAGTTAAAAAAAAAGTGGCTCACAATGAAAAGTGGAATTAAATGCACTTTAGGTTCAATACACATTGAAGTAGAGCCCCAACTTATCAAGCCAAAATTTGTTTACTACTGAAGTTAAAAAAATTGCAAAACAAAATTGCGGTTGGTGTACCTCTTTGCCATCTTGTCGATGCCTGCGATTTTCTCTCCAACATAATGGTTCATTCGCTTCATGAGCGTTTGGACCGCACTGTCTGGGAAACCTTGCTTTTCCAAGCGACGCTTGTAGCAGGCTGTTAAAAAAAGGCATTTAAACATATATAAGATACACAGGTATAATTATTAACATAAAGCTAAATGAATCCATTATAGAATAAAAAATACGCTTTGTTTTTAGGCAGCTGCACATGAAAATTTTAGGTAGCATCTTCAGTGGTGTCAAAATGGCATCTCATAGCAGAAAAGATATCAAAAGCACTCATTATTACTTCGGTAGCAAAGCATTTTGGATATAAATGACACAAAAACAATGCAGAATATAGAACTAATGAATCTATTCATGAAGTTATCGTGAGAAATTTTTTTAAAACAGATTTTAAATGTAATATCAGTTAACCATCTATGAAATTCACCATTATGTATTTTCGCCTCATAAACTGCATACATCATGAGTGATACTATTAAGAAATGTCCCAGAAGAATAGACCTCTACCAGGGTACATCACAGTGCGACGTCGCTAGCGCACGTGGAAGGTGTGGTTGGCGAAGCATTACCTCTGGTGCCTCAGTGCAGTACGGTCGTGCGATGTTTGGGGAAAGTTTTTTTCTTTACTTTCTTTTTTCAAAGCCTAACTTCATGTTACAATGGCGACATCAGCTGTAGTACATGTCAGTGAACATCTAGCTGTGTGGTAAACTGCGTGATGAAATATTTGCCACGCTGGCTGTTTATCTTGAAGAAGTGAACACACGTGGTGGCCTGTGCGAGGAAAAGCGGCATCGTCTTGGAAAATGTGCACTCTATTGTGGAGTGTAGTGTACGTTAAAAGGCATCAACAATATCGGTTCATCTTGACATCTGCAAAGGTGAACCTGAGAAGATTGTGTGTGGTACGTGCAGGGTGAATAACGATGTGGCTTGTTTGCAAAAACATAGGCGCTTGTTTTGGGCTGGTGGCAGCGACCGGTTGTCTACAGAACTTGATTCAAGATTTTAGTGAAGGTAAATATGCATTTGACACGGTCATCTGCGAGTCTGTACATCTCAGCATTTGCGCTCTGTGCAGGAAAAAAATTGCATGATCACCGGGCTGAAAGATACCACTGGTAAAGCTAAATATACGCTTCGCCCCAGCGAGTACACAAACCCAATAAAGGTATAACTCGTTTTATCAGAGGCCTCATATGACTTCATGTAAAAGGCAGAGATTCTTGTTTCACATATACTTAGTACCTTTACTGCTCGATATTCATGAAGTGAAGATGCACACTAGAAGTTTGTGTGTTAGGTCTTAAGGGAACAATGTAAGTATGCGAATACCTTGTATGCATCAGATGCAGTGATGTGACTGTGCAAAAGATAACGTATGTAATTAAGTTAAAGAGTTTAAAAATGCATAAATTTTCAGAGGGGTATGAGGAATGTAGCTGACAACTTTGCTTTAATTTTCACAAGGATTTGTTAACCTCAGCCGAACACACGACAAAGTGTTTTCTTGTTTGTTCTTGTTTCTTTTCCCATTCATCTTCGGTCAGAATTTTGCGGCACGAGTGAGAATTTTCTTCATAACCTCTCGCACAGCAGCTCAAAACCTTGCTGCAGCCAATGCTGTGCCTCGTTTAAAACTGCGATGCACATGTCGCAACGAAAATTGGGTACATTTAGGTCTATACCATTACAATATTTCTCAAAGCATCCGTCACCGTGAATACGTTTGCCTTTGAAGAGGAAAAATGTTTTTTTAATGGCTGCCATCTATGGCAGCCTACAACAATTCACCAAAATTTCAGCCTGACGAATGCAGACACATGCAGCCCTGCTAGTATGTAGAAAGATCCCGCTAGCGGAACTTTCTTGTCAACCAGCCCCAGCGCCGTAGGAAGGAATGGTGGGCACAGTGCTCATAGTGACGTCACATTATTTGCAAACAGGGAGAGGTATCTATAAAAACACCAGATCTGTGCGGAAGGCACAGCACAGTCACAGCGAAAGCTAGAAGAGCGACCTTTCAGAGCCTTTTCGAAACACTCATTGGTAACTAGTACAAGCACACTTGCTTGATACCCACTAGGTCATTATTAATAAATTTATTTGGGTAGTAGGCCAGCATTTGCTATGCTGTTTTTCGTCATTCTTCTGAGAAGCGTGGTATCCGCTAAACACTTGCAAGGAATTTTGTGCCAATTTATGCAGTGACTGACAACGATGAGGAATTATGCCTAAAATGGGTATGCGCCACAGTTAATAGCTCAACAAAAACAAGATTTTGTAATGGGTTGGAGCATTGGATGACCCACTTACTACGCTGTTCACATTGTGCGACAACTGCTTGTTCTTTCGCTGTTTTAAAACGCTTTATAAGTCGTATTAACGCAATTGCTTTCTCGACATCAAGCCTGCCTAAGGCAAGTTTGCCAACAAGTCCCAAGCTCCGGCGTGGCTCAGTGGCAGAATACTGGGCTGGCACCCAGTGGACCAGAGTTCGAGCCCCACTGTGTCATTAGTTTTTTTCGCTATGTTCGCGCAAGACCTGAGTTGTGATCTCACAACAGCTTTCGCTGTAATATATGTGCATAGTACTGGGTCTTGGTTGAACTTCAGCACTGTAAACTGTGCAAAGTGAGGTAACTTAGTTATTGGTGCTTCATTAGAACACCATTTATGAGCTCACACACTGACGAAATGGGATATATGTTGATACTCACTTCGCATGACAGACACCTTCCATGGTGTCAATGGATCCTTTCTCGGCCGATTTGGGAAACGAGGACAATGCTTGCCTGCAGAACATTATACATTAAGCAATTTTAAACACTGCATTACTGGCAGTTCAAAGTACTGGAAATTACCTTGCAATGATCGTCCTTGTAGCTGAGCTGGATCCCAGATTGTCACCAGCAGATCCTTAATGAACAAAGAATCTTTGTCCCGAGCCTGCACACGACGCCATGTTTCCAGCGGAATTCGCAGCCCTTGTCCAATGTCAACCTGCAGAAAATAAAAGCAGCAGTAACACATGAGTGCCATTCACAATGCTTAAATTTAATGTACCATATATAAAGGTTTTCAATTGAGCAGAACTATTCTGTGTGAAGTTCACAAATAAACGCATGTAATTGAACAACAGCTTCTTGCTTATCACATAAAACTAATGCATGCTTTCCTTCAAATTTCACGAAGAAACACTGCAGCTGAGTCATTGAAGCCTTAGTGGTTTACAGTGCACTAGGGCAATGATACACCATGGTTTGTGGGCTGTAACTGGAACATGAGGAAGTGAACGGATCACTTGCAAAGAAAAACATACACCTGTCAAAGAACTAGGCCAGGCTTATGAGCTGAGGATTTCAAGTGTAGTTACTATATGATTGCTGTCATTATGTAGGCACTAAGCACAGCTTTTTCTAAAATAAAACTGAGTCTCAAACATCTCACCAAGCTACCGCCTGATGCACCAGCTTGCGCCTTCAAGGGAGAATGTGGGCACTCTCTGGTGGGTGATGAAGGGGGGGATGGTGTGCTGCTAACTGCTGGAAGAGTGATGTCCATGCTGTGTGGCAGAGGGGTGCCAGGGCTGTGGGACTGAGCAGTAGGCTCTGCACTTTTGTATCTACTGGAGCCTACATGAAAATTGCACATCAGAAACTGAAGTGAACCAACTAACATTGGAACATGGTTATTCGCTTAGAAGGTACATTTGCTACATATAGATGGGGACGAAGGAAGGACACAAGACATAGCGCTAAACTACATCTGATTATTCATTTTTGATGGAACGACCTATATGTACCAAACATGCCAATAACAGCAGTCTTAGTCCAAGCACTAGCAAAGAATAAAGTAAGCAAACTACACTTACCTTGCACACTGCCTATGGCTTATCAATGTTCTGAAATTCTACCTCATTTCTTAAGAGCGTTGTGGAAGCAAAGCTTTCAGGACACTTGTCAGAAGTGTATGAAATTGATTGCAGGAAAGATGCTAAGGCGCATTGCCGGGCTAGTTGGTTGGGGTTCATCATTTATATGGGTATAGCGCACCACCACAAGGACATAAAAAGATCTGCTGTATCTTAACATGATCTTTTCCAGGTTTTACCGGTCTACTGTTATTGTATAAATAGCATGTGTGATCGCAAATGAAACAGTAGTTGCAAGTTAGTGCTAAGTGTGTGTCTCTGTGTCCTTGTGGTGGTGCGCTATACCCATATAATCGCAGGAAAGAAAATGGTGTGAGGACCCCTTCCACGACACCTAAGAATGGACATAGAATTTTTGAACGCTGATAAGCCATAGGCAGTGTGTAAAATGGTGTGTTGTTTTGTAAAACTTTTTTGATGATGCTTGGCCAAAGAGTGCTGTCATAGGCTATTTACGTCCATATAATTTTGCTCCATCAGAAATTAAGCATCAGTTGTAGTTCAGCACTATATGCCTCGTGAGTTCATTCTTCGTCCCCGTGTATATGCGCAGTAGAGTTTAATGATGCAATACCAACTAGCCCAACAAAGCATCCTCGTGAACTTAACTTGCTAAATCATTCTTACACTCTTGTTTACAGAATATTCCTTCTACCAAGAGTGTGTGCCACCACTTCATATATAATATACCAATTAGACTTGCCTTCTCTGATCTTGACTAGGAGCTCCTTTTGGAGATCTCTGTTCAGCCCTCGAAGCTCTACGAGTTCCTCGTTCTGAGCATCTATTTTTTTTTGCATTTCTGCAACTTTTTTTTGGAGCTCATTCAGCTCAGCCTCCTGTGAGGGTGAGACCTTCACAGCTTTTTTCTTTTTTTGTAGAATTTTTAAAAGCCGCTCCCTACTCTCGGAGGGCTTGTCTTGTTCCTAAAAAATAAAACATGAGCAATAAAATACTGGGCAATATTTTCTTTTATGCTTGGTCAAGCAATTACATATAGGGTGAACCATACCTTCGATGGTGCAACATTGCTGTCGCCATCGCTGGCTTGATCAGAATCTTCAATTAGGGGCCTCACCCGCACCCTTTTTCGGGACACAATTTCCTTCAAGTCTTGTTCCGACTCTGGAATACACAACATTCTATTACAGTACAAGTCGTAAGCTAGAAAAACGGTGTAACTGAAGACTACCATAAAAGCAACATGGCCCAAGAGAGCAATATGATTGTAGCAAGAAATGTTAACCTAGAAAAACGTATCTGTCTCAACAGATTGTGATACATACATATAAAGGTTAAAGCTCTTTACATAAGCAAATGACACAAGCTCACGTGTTTGAAAAGGCAAACTAAAAGATTGGTGAACCATCAAGAAATATATTCATGTGTGCACATAATTTCGCGTGTACATTCGAATTTAATGGCTATATATCTGAATCAATTAAATGCTTGATGTCGTTTGATCACATAAATGACCACAGTGCACGCCATATTTACCTGGGTATATGACAAAGAGTGGGTGTACACGTGAGTGTACGCAAATATAATTAGGAAGTTCTACAATTTGTGCGTTCAAAGAAACCTAGAGCGCCTAGCTCACTTACGTTTTTTCATGCATCTGCCTGTTCTAGCCCCCTACATTAAACGGGGCACGTAATTTTAATTTTGCCGAATTGCACGAACTTCGATGAAAATCGCCCTGCACTGACGTATACACGATCGATTTATCGCACGTCACATCGTTGCTGCGTGGAGCACGAAACAATCGAACTAATTCAATGCAGCCTTAAAAATGCACAAACTTACCTCCAACCCGCAAAATTCTTGCGCGGTAGTAGGCACATGTGCCGGTGGAATCGGTCCATTTGACCATAAAGAAGGCTGTCGAATAATCCTCATTCGGATTGAAATTTTTTATGTCTTCCACTGGCACGATTGCCAAATGTTTGTCGTCCTGGTATCGAACGTAAGCGTGAGTAATCATCGCTGCAACGTTCCGATTCCAACACCGCAGACAATCACGCACAACACACAGAACACACTACACACGTTCTCGAGCAGTACGATGCCACCATTACCACGTTTTTTTCCGAAAAGCTGCTGCAAGCTCATTGATGTTGATGCTAGTTAGGCCGTCCTGAAGTGACAAGGATGGCGCCCAGCTAGAACTAAAAAAGCAAAATAAGTTAGACACTGACACTGATGCTAAAATAAAATGTTATTGCTGTTGAAAAATAGTTTGATAAACTTATTATTTGGCATTCAAATCCCCCATAAATAAAAAAGTTACGCCAATTTTGAGGCCATTGTTGAGCTTGTTGGCTCGTTGCACGCAGCAGCGCGGCCATGGAGGCCTCCGTGAGCGCGGCAGACGTCGAAAACAATTTTTTTCGGCTTTTGTGACGTGATAAATGCCAAGAAAAAAACGTTTTCTTTTTTAGGTTGCGTTCACTGACCACTTGCGGTGAGCTATTGTAAACAAACGTATGTTTGGTATGTTTGCGGCCGCAGGACTGTGGTAGCGTGGTCGTTCTGTGGCGTGGGTCGGTGTTCTGGCAAGTGTTCTGTGGGTCGGTCAATCTAGCGTGTAGAGCAAGTGGTGGTCAGAGCGCATTCAAGTTTTACACATAGACGAGCGCATAGCGGTCACCGCCACATATTAGCAAGATGGAACCGCAGAAGAAACGGAAAAAGCGCGGAAGGTATAAAAAGTATCTGAATCCAAGCAGTGTATGCAGTGTGCCCAGATCAACAGACTCATCAGCTAGGCTGCGGCTCGCTAAAACTGTAAGTAAACTTCTTTAATTGTCTCGACTCTATCAGATTATCGGCAAAAAATGTCCTTGTTAAATCTCAATAATCTTGCCGCGCAGGAATCCATAAAGGATGGCTCACACAATAAAAGTTCGGATGAAGGTCCGCTGGATTCGCGGCCGCCCGTCGGTCAAGCGGAGTACACGGTACCGCAAAATGCGACATCGATGGCCGCTGCGGTGTTGGCGGCGGACAGTGCTGTGCAGCATGCGAATAATGACGACGATGGGCAGCGATTCCGATGGAGCGAGCAGCCTATGTTCTAGAACGCTGGTACGTAGATGGATGCCTTCGTCTCAAATATTGTACGCAGTGCGTTGAATGTAACAAGTACGTACGTTTGTGTTGGTGCGTGCACGCGTGCTGGAAAGTGCACCTACAAACATAATTTCCTAAAGCATTGGCTTAATGATTTCGAGAATGCGTGCTCAATTTAATTAAGAGGCACAGTTAAATTTAATTAGAGAAACTGTTGAGCCTCATTTACCACAACGTTACGATTGAAATCTTGGGTCCTTTTCTTGGAGCTGGTTTTCATAAAAGAAAAAGAAGCACGCGCGGGGGGGGGGGGGGCGCAACATTTGTTTTACAGAGAGTTACAGTATATATCCTTTAGTCGTGTAAAAATTTGCAAGAGACAAATATGTTTTTAGTATATTCTTTGCTATTTATTTTATGATTTATCTAAATGCATTTTTTTTTTTGTCTAGACATCTCCGCAGCCAGCCATTCCGGGTGATCGAAGTGAACGACAGAGAGATCTGCAAGATATAGATGATGGAGGTGATTACAGTGGAGACTGTGCCGCCACTGTGTATGATCCATGTGGTGCAAATCATTTCATCAGTGATGATGACAACACAGATTTTGGCAGTTGTGATGACACAACTGACCCTACAACAATGGTATGCTTCCACATAATAATTGTATTCATGTAAACCTTACAATGAATTTTTTCTGCAGGGCACTCAACATGATACTGTGGACAGCGTGACTCGGGGCGTGTTTCTATCTGAATGTAACAGTGAAGTGTGTGATGTGGCTGATGGCATAGACAGTGAGGGACCTTTCAATGGAAACTTGTCAACCGATGCCGACACAAACAGGACACAACTTGGAGATTTGTTTCAGGAGGTCCTGAATGAAAAGATTGTCGTTTCAAAAGGCGAGATGCTTTTGATGATATTTAAACATGCCATAAAAAGTAATTTGTCTTTTACAGCAATGGTGAGTTTGATTGAAATGGTCAACATGTTTTTTGAACGACCTGTTCTGCCACATTCACGATACCAGCTTGGCAAGCTTTTTTCAGAGCATGGCACCGAGATGAGTTTTCATTTCATTTGTGGTAAATGTTCGACAGTGCACGAGGTCGCACAATCCTATGCTCAGTCGAGTCATTGTCAAAAATGTGGCTGGGCTCTAGCTTCCTCAGTAAACAGCGAATCATTTTTTGTCCTATTGGATGTCCCCTCTCAACTTCGAAAGGTTTTAAAGAATTGCAGCTTTCTTGACCTGACAAAGCCCTTAAGTCAAAGCAGTAACCTTTCTGATATTTGTGATGGAGAATTATATCGCAAATTTGTTTCTGCTACAGTAGACGAAGGGCACAGGATTAGCTTTACATTAAATGCAGATGGCACACCACTATTTTCATCCAGCAACACTTCAATTTGGCCTATACAGCTACTGGTGAATGAGGTGCCCATTATGCAAAGAGGGGACAAACTTGTGTTGGCTGCTCTTTGGTTTGGAAAGAAAAAGCCAGATATGAGCATTTTTCTTGATGTGTTTGAAGAGAAAATGGAAGGTTTGGCACAGAATGGCTTTGTTCTTGATCATGAAGGACAGCCGAAGCTGTTCAAGGCTTATTGCATTTGCTGTGCAGTTGATTCAGTGGCAAGAGCCCCCATGCAAGGGGTCATGCAATTTAATGCATACTATGGGTGTAACTGGTGTCTGCAAAAGGGGGAACGCATTGCAGGCACTACCAGGTACCCAGTAGAGAAGAATGAGCCACCAGAGCGTTCTGAACAAGAAATTATGGAAGATGCAGAAACTGCATTGCAACAGGATCATTCTGAAAGAGGAGTGAAGACAGTTTCTCCACTTCTAAACTTGCCACATTTTGATATAGTCTGGGGTTTTGTCCCCGATTATATGCATAGTATTTTGTTGGGAGTGGCGAGGCAGTTTTTAGAGATGTGGATGGCTGATGCACAGTGTGATTTCTATATTGGGAAGCATCAAAGAACGATTGATGAAAGGCTGACAGCACTGGCTCCTCCTAGAGAAGTGCGCCGGTTGCCAAGAGCAACAAAAGAAAGAAAGTGGTGGAAGGCCAAGGAGTTTGAGAATTGGGTGCTCTTCTACAGCCTGCCAGTGCTGCAAGGAATTTTGAATAAATCTTGCATCAGTCACTGGGCTTGCCTTGTTGAGGTGCTTCACATTCTGCTGTCACGTAACATAAGTTTGTCACACTTTCAGCGAGCAGAAGAACTCCTTTTGGAGTTTCACGTCATGGCAGAAGCCATATATGGGAAAAAATGCATGACATTTAACCTACATCAACTTGTGCACATTGCAAAAAGTGTCAAGCACTGGGGCCCACTGTGGGCGCATTCGGCATTCCCGTTTGAAGCTGGCAATGGCGCATTAAAGTCCATGGTAAAAGCTGCAAATGGCGTACCACACCAAATTTGTAGAGCACATCAAGTTGAGGACTTGATCGACAAGCTATCAAGCATAACAACAGACAGGAGAGTGCTTGACTACTGTATGTCGCTCGACAAAAGAGCCACACAGAAGACAGTTGTTGCTGAAGACATTCGCCTTTTTGGTAGGGGTGTCCCATACAGAAGTGATGCTTCTACAGATCTTGTGCAGTACACCCGTATGCTTATGAAAGGGACAGTATACACGAGCCATAACTACTCGTCAAAAAAAAAGACTAACAGTTCTGTCGTACGCCTTGCTGACCAATCATATGCGGTTATAGAAACAATTCTTATGAAACAAGGCGAAGTGTACATTGCAGCCAGGCGCCTCCACTGCTCAGCAGTAAAATATAGCACCTTAGTGATGGAACATTTGGTGAAGGTTCAAAGAGAAGCAGCAACAACAACTCTTGTATCAGCATCAGAAATTTTCAGTGTTTGTGCACACATGCAAGTAGGCCCGAACATATTCATTTCACCCGTGCCTAGCTCGTTCACAATGTAAATTTTCAAATCTGGTGTGCAATTCTAATAGACCATTTTCAAGCACACCATCGCCACTAACAAGTGCGGAAGCACTCACGGGTAAAGTTGGTATGCCAGAGCAGCCAACGGCAAGAAGTATGCGGGCCTCACGCTTTACCGCTTGCGTCATTCCAGGACTTCTTAGAGACCTTGAATTTGGCTAGGTGCAACATATTACTGCGTAATTCAATTGCGAACTTCAGTGTTCAGCTGCGAGGGCTTCTCGACTATTTCCATCAGTCTCACTATAGGATTTTTTAAGTGGCTCAGAAGTGTCATCCCCCTTTTGTTTTCCTTTATGGCAAAAAATGAAATAAAATAGATACACTCTGTTGCCTATGAAACGCTCGAGCAGTCCTACATTTGGAACCAATGTCCACTGACACTGTCTACGAGTAGAATGTGAGGTTCTGATTTTGAAGAGTTCTATAGAAAGTATAGTCCGCATTTAATAAAATAAGATACAATCACTGAACGGCCGTGTGTGTTGCTTGCACCATATGTGATGATTTGATTTGTGGGGTTTAACGTCCCAAAACCACGATATGATTATGAGAGACGCCGTAGTGGAGGGCTTTGGAAATGTCGACCACCTGGGGTTCTTTAACGTGCACCTAAATCTGAGCACACGGGCCTACAACATTTCCGCCTCCATCGGAAATGCAGCCGCCGCAGCCGGGAATCGAACCCGCGACCTGCGGGTCAGCAGCAGAGTACCTTAGCCACTAGACCACCGCGGCGGGGCTTCCACCATATGTGTAACGAACGATACGTGTCTACTAACCTTCATTGGCACTATAACTACAAGTTGGGATTGTACTAGAGCAAATAAAAAGCAGGACAAAAAAGGGGATACAAATTCTCTTACATATATCAATTAATTCAAATATTTGTAGCTTCTTCATTATTCACGGGCAAAGTACATCCATATTTATCTTTCTTAGCCTTGCCAACCAATTTTTGCAGACAGATGCAACAATGCACAGGATCCCCTGCCTCTTTGAGGCAATCGATTTGTAGCTGGAAACTACTGCTCATTTTATGTGAGCAAGTTTTTTTTTTTGATGCCGTGTGTAGCATGACGTTACAATACCTCGTTTAGCAATATTCGAATGCTCTGACATGAAATTAAGACACTGGTTTCGATGAACCAGTCGTGCAACCTAAAATCAGGTACCAAGAAACAGCAAATTATCATAGCAAGGAACCTCACAAATAAATTCTAGTTCCGTTCCTTTTTAAACGCATTTAGAATGTGCTCACTTCTTTGCACAGTGCAAAGAAGTGAGCACTTGTGAATTAAAATAAAATAATCACTGTACCTAAACACTGTAAAACCTTTCTGCTGTTTTGTTAAACCCGATCATGGACAATTAATTGTTAATCGTTGAACAAGTAATCATTTATAATTATGGATTTGGTGTTCCAGCTCCCACTGCTCACGATAGCACGTTTTGACTTATGTATCGGCATGTGATCATTCATTCGCGTGCCGACTGTATCATTCCTTTAGCATTTAATGTGTAGATATACATGCAGGTGCGTTCAGACATGTATAGTATTTTGGATGTAATAGTCAACATTTGGGGATGCCTCTTAATTTTTCTTTTTTGTTCGGTGCTCCCACGGCACCAACGAGCAGCGGGTGATCGAAAACAGCTGGCGCGTTTGACCGATTCAACGTACACACTTTTCCCATAGTGCTTCCCATGCCTGCGAGGGCTCTGGGATTGCTTGAAAATGGTCTATTTGTTTTGCACTGAGGGGACTCGGCATGCTCATATGGTTCAGATGTGCTAAGGATATTTATGATTAAATTGACACTAGATAAAACTGGTATCCCATCTTGGTGAAGTGCTTATCCTTACCACTTTTTCTGTACAACTCGAGAGCTCTCCTAACTGGTATGTGGCACATTATATGAGCATTCGAGTTTTTCTTTAGAAGGGCTTGTATGCTAATTGTCACTATGTGATTGCGTCATTGTAACTGTTGTATTATATGTTGTATATTCTTTTTTCAATGTGCATTTTATGAAATGCCATAATCAAGGAAGTTAAGACATTTGCTTAGGGAGCATAGGGACTCGGGTTTAAATCGCACTAATAGAGTGAAAATTTGTTGTTGTTTTTTTCATTTGTATTTTTATGATTGTCCTAAGTCACAAAGTGACATATACTCTTTTCTTCTTGTCCTTGCATATAATTGCTAGTGCTTGAAGTTCGGTAAAATTATGATTTCAGCACTGCTCATTGTCGCTATGTTATTGCAACATTGCAACTATCATATTGTATGTGCTATTTTTTTTAATATGCATTTTATTAAATACCATAATCAAGGAAAGAAAAATGGGTTTGTAGCCCACTGGTTAAAGGGGTCCTGACAAAATTTTGTGGCTGAGACAGCCTGCAAGGTCGATTCCCGTGAGCATTTGTATATCATCTGCAAAATATCAACTGCAAATATAGGTTGGAAGGTATTTTAAATCGATTTTGGAAGTTTGCATCTTGCCACTGACACCCTCGAAGGGAAACCTTTGAAGACCCCCTACTTCCCTTCAGTCACCATGCTGCAGTCAATAAAACAAGTTATGATGACATCATAGCTGCCTTTTTTGTTGCGTTTGTTATCGGAGTCTATACTTCTTGGCGGCTGCTTGGGAGTGCTTCGCTGTGGCACACGCTTTGAAAGTTTTGTGTTTGGCGACATTGCAGTCAGGTTTACTATTCGAAAGTAATTCTTGATGTGGACTGTACAGAAGTGTGTCACAGTTCTTTGTGCTGACTTGATCAAGAGCTGCATACTCTAGGTAGCGATAGTTGCCCCTGGTGGCTTCTCGTTTTTTGGAGCTCTTTCAAACTGATACTGAAAGTGGTCAATTGTCAGGGGCCTGTAATTATCTGTCCCGTGCTGCAGCAAATTATGTGTCGTGTCATGACTAACAGGCCCCCAGCAACACATTGCAGCTGAAAAATGCGAGGCCAATGTTTTTGTGTCAGTACCCCTTTAAGGCATTTGTTTAAAAGCATGGGGGCTCAGGTTTAAACTGCAGTAATTGAATGAAAATTTTTGTGTTATGTTCATTCGTATTTTTATAGGGAGGACTGTTTTAATTCTCTTGTTGTTCTGGCATACAATTGCTACTGCTTGAAGTTCAGTGAAAAATGATTTTGCCGACAACACCTTACTAGTATTGGTGATTGAGTTTCATTGCTCTGGAACCTTGATGTTGTATTGCAAGTGTTGTGAAAAAAATGCACCAAGATAGATACAAAGGGAGTGTCTGCTGCTTACTTTTGTTGTACTTTTTGTACTAATAAACGTTTGTGTGACCTGATTGTGTGCTTTTGTTATATACATGCCTGAAACTGCCTCCACTGCTTATGGCCTTTGAATATTAATTCGGTGTTATATGCCAAAAATTTGCACTGCTCTATTTTCAGCTGTACCATTTAGATTGATGTAACTGCCTTATGTTTGCAATAATTGTACCAAGAAACATTTTTTCAGAAAAAAGGTCTAATCTATTGTAGTGTCCTTGAATAAAACTAGCTGTAATCACATTCAAGCAAAAACATTTTTGCACTGCTCTCACTATCCCGAGGCACGCAAAGCTGTGAATAAAGTTCCCTGTAGTGCATGCATGACAAAAGGATATAATGCTGTTTTTCGCAAGAGTAGCTCCATGCACATGAGCTGTGTAACTTAGTTTGTCTTTGCGGAACTTACGTGGCTTTCAAAACTTTTAAAAAATGCCATTAGTGTCATTTGGCCTGCTAGTGCCCACGAAGAACTAAAATGCCGAAGGGGCGCTCAACGGACTGACTAAAAACCTAGTAGATTGTGTGGTGGGCCAAAAAGTTGTACAATATATGCTAAAAGAGACTTGACAAGCACAAAATGAGATAAAAGCCGAACGGTTCGATGGATTCTGACATATGTCCTTAAAACAACATTAATAATTAGCACTTTCAGGTCATCTTAGCAGTGGTATAATAGACCCTTGGAATTTTTTAACATTTTGCAAGTAAATGAACGGAACAGTTCAAAGCGACTCCAAGTTTCTGACCAAACTGTGCATGCGAATTTCCAAGGGAAGCTTATGGCCCAACTAAAAGCAACCATTTTTGATTGAACCATTTGGCATTTGCACATTATTCAAATGGCCTAGTTGAAAAAAAGCCCATTTGGTCCACTTGGAAATGAGTAAACCCACTTGAACCATTTTCAATTAAATTGTTTCACATGGCTGAGTTAGAAATGGAAATTTCATTTGACCCAAATGCAAGTGAACAAATCCAATTGAACCATTTGGCAATTCATTGGGAGTGAGCATATCCAATTGGCAATCCAAATGACCCAATTGGAAGTAGGCAAACCATTTGAAAATTCCAATTGGTCTTCTTGGTTATACCATTTGATCCTAGTGGACCAATTGGCAATTCCAATTGTTCCAAATGGCCCAATTGGAGATTCCATTTGGCCCAATTGGAAGTAGATGAACCATTTGAAGATTCCAATTGGTCCTGCTGGTTATACGAATTGGTCCAATTGGAAATGACTATTTCCATTTGGACCCATTGATATTTCCAATTGGTTCCAATTGTTTTTTTTAACTGGGTAATACTGCTCGCGTTACTACTGCCTTGCTGACCTCCTCTTCCTAATCTGATGAATAAGCTAATGTCCTGTTCTGTGTATTTGTTTAATACAAAGGCTTGCTGCTGCACTCTTGTGACTGAAAAATTGAGCGGCAAGTGATTGAGCCAGAACAGTGGTTTTTATGGAGAAGTGGCCATTTGCAAACATTTGCAACTAACATAATCGCATGACCATTTCTAGTTGCATGTGTAAATGAGCCGTTGTGCTACTTTACACACTTCCAATACTTACAGATTGAACTTCTTTCCGTTTAACTAGAGAGTCAGTAGCAGCAAGATGGCAGCAATAGCAACCATATGATCATAGTTACACAATGGCTTATATGGCAATTTTAAGAATTTATATGACATATAAGGTCCCATGTTCTCTAGGGATTTAATTTCCAAAGAATTCACTGAGTGAACACTTCATTACGTGATGACACTGCTATGACAATGCGACACCCCAGCATTGATGGCATCACTTAATTGCAGGTTGATGATGATGAGTAGATTTTAGTGGCGCAAGGGCCAATTGATGGCCAAAGAGCGCCATTTCAATTGACTACAGATATGAACAATGATATGGTGCGTGGCTGTAAAGGGGCCTTAAAATTCCTCGCTCTAACGCGGGTTAAAACATGAAAGTAATAAAATTATGACAGTGGCGTGACATATGTGTGGTGATAGCTGATGGCAAAATGTCTTGATAATAAAACCATGATGAATATATAGTCACCGCAGCGACGACCACACTATAGAGGTCGTGCTACGGATGACCTCGAAATATCGGGTGAAAGCTTTGCACATCTTTTAAAAACCTAAAAAGTGTATG